TTTTTTTTGAAGCAGATTTGCAAGTTCAATTCTCATGCCCTGAATAAGCCCTTCCACGAACTCAGCAGGTTTTTCAGTCCGATCCGAGGCAACGTTTCAGAGAAGAGCTGGAAGACGGCACGTCCCTTTCTTCTGCACCACTCCGATGGTATTAGCAAAGTAGTAGCAGCCAGATAAGCTAAGTATTGGATGTCGAGCAGGAACGCTCCAGACTTCAGACCAGTTGTACTTCTGAATTTCAACCCCAACGGCGTCGACGAAAGAGATCTTTTTGTGATGGAAGCATCTACAACCGATTAAGCTGTCAATATCGCGCCAAGCATCCAGCCTTCGCTCGGAATGCAGAAAGAGGCTCCCTTGAAATGCAACTCCACCTTCTCAGCTGCAGACCCGGTTCAACTTCAAGGTTCTTAATAGGGTTCGATTCATCGGTAGCCGCCACATGGTTAGGGAGGGTCGCGACCAGTCACGATAAGACTAGAAACAGCAGGAACTGATCCAGCTGTAAAATAAAACCTTCTAAAAAGCTAATGTTCACCTTTCATCACTTAATCTGGAGTGAAAAGACAAGAGCCTATTCACACAATTAGTTTGTCCGTTTTGCCATTGTGCATTTCCCCAAACCAGTTTCAAGCGTGAGGCCAACCCTGTTTTATAGCGGGGCACAAGCTTACAGCCACTTTACCCCTTCATTCATAGCTGATGAAGCTGTCCCATACCTCCACCTTCATTTCTAGGAAACGGGTCACGCATCGCATATCTTGTCGACAGGAAAGCAGGACAGCAATGCCGCTGCCAGTGCTTGCTCCCAATTATAGAAAACTCGGCTGGTTCAGAGGATTCGAGACTGGAGCCTGTAGATTGTTTGAGAGGGTCCTTTTCCAAACGGGATTTGCCATATCTTCATCATCAGGGCTTGGGATTCAGACAACGCCCTGTAAATTTTAATCAAAAGCGATGTGTTGTCGCAAGCCGATGATTGGTCGTTTGTTGCCAAAATAAGTTGTTTTCAAAAGTGCCTTGCCGAAAAAAGGAACTTTTCGAGCTCATCCCTGAGTGTTTCACGCTGAAAAGCAAGAGTACAAGACACAGGCTTTTCCCACTTCGCTGCTTTTTCTGAGATTAACGGACCAGACCTCCCTGCTCTCATACCTGTCCAGCTCGAATTGCCGGTTCCACGTTTCACAAAACATTTCGAAACAAAAATTTGCTTTGTTTTCCTGTCATTCGTAGCGAAACTGGCTTTCATATTTACAAGGGCCCCAGAACAACTCGTCCAAATCATGGATGGCACAAAGTTGGAAAAAGTGCCGGGTAAACTACTCACAATGGTACTCCAAACTCCATTTGGAAGTATTTTTAGAGGCGGTAAGAGCAAGCGCAGTTGAACTGACTCGTTTCTAGCTGAATGGTTTTAAAGTAAGCAAGTAAAGGTAGAAACTAGAGGTCCCTTTCCCAGAAGAGACAAAACGGCTTCTTACAATCTGGAGGAAGGTAGATGCCAGTCCACCTTCTCAGATTGGCCACGCTTCCAGATATGTAGGAGCACCTGAAGGCGGATCCACCGGAGATCGCGAGACCTGTGTAGAGGAATTTGGGGCAGTACTACGTACAATACAGTACAGCAGCACACAAGATGCCCGAAGCGATTCCAGGGATCGTTTAACGGTGACGAAGGATAAAGTTGGCAATCCCTGACGCCTCGTCGACCCCCCTTACCACTTACTCCTTGCATCCGTGAGGGTAGGGGTTGGTTATAATTCGAAGCCAAATCGGATAGACTTCTAAGGAAACCAAGAAGTGAGCTTGTATTGAAAAGTTGTTGTGCTAAATCCCTTGGTGTAATGGAGCTTGGTTACTTGACGAAATCACTCGCGAAGTTTCCATTCTTGGTCTACAAGACGTAGCAATTTTTCCCCGTTTTTCACGCTCTGTGCCATTCCTATAAAGCGCGTTATTCCCATGGGTGAATACCATAGTACAAAGACTACAAAAATCAGCTTTTGACAAAAGTAATCTTTAGAATTGCACTTACTCATAATAAATGCTATGATGTTAATCTATTCAGTGAAACAGACCCCGAGCTGCTCCAAGTAAAGCTTAATTGCTACCGAGAAATGTCCCATTATTGCTAACACTGCAGGCATGACTAGAATTCCTCGAATGTCCTTAATCCATGTGTTTTTGTGAACTTTCAATACGAGGAACTCGGACTCTCCCAAGAGCCAAAAGGGATTCCTGGCGCTGGAAAAGTAGTCCAATTGATCTCAATAAGAGCTTCTCAGCATTCTATGTTGGCATTTGACTGCTTCACTGACCTATACAATGACTTTTGGTGGCCAGTCAATGTAAAAGCTACCGTTTTCGTCCTCCTAGACGAGTTCGGTACCAACTGGCCAAACCTGGGGAGGATGAAAACTAGGCTTGCCTGGGCGGATACTAATCAGGAGATCACAGAAAGACTACCCTACTGAATATCAAGCAAAAGCCGGATGCAGAACTTTACCGGAAGAGTTATTGGCCTTGAAGTTTGAAACTGAAGTTCGCTTTCATTCAGAGTACATTTTCATTGTGATACCACGAAATTATATGGAAAACTCCGTAGTTTCTAGGAAAATTACGAAGAAAAAGTTCAAGAAAGATTCTAAAAACACCCTCGACAACTGGGTCGATTTATCAATCGAAAGAGTGATCACAAATAGCTTCCAGTCCACTCACAAATGACACCCCATCAAAATCTCTCAGTTACCAGTTTAGTTTAACAATTACAACCACAACGCTAAAGCCATTTATCAACGGCACGTTCATCTTTGATCATAATTTTCCCATGAGGCTTTGTATTCTTCTGAAAGGAAAGTGAATCACCAGACAAAGACTTATTGGCGAAACCAAGTCTGTTACGCGAGGAAAAGCATGAGATCAAGGGAGTTGTTTCACCAATATGACTACCTAATTTTCCTTCAAAGTTCTCCAACTTCAAGAATTGACCTATGAAAGGCTGGTCAAGATAGGTAGAAGAGGTTCATAACTCCTCCTACCTCCCAACCTCAGCCCTAGTCCATAAGGGTAGAGCCCAGAAACGTTTTGAATCGTTATTCAAGACGTCTTCTCTCGCAGATCTAATGCTCCCCTCGATAGTCTACCGAATTAAAAAAAGACTAAGTTTTTACGGGGAATGTTTACTTTTACCAGTTCTTTCACCGATGATTATGTGGCGACCAATCAGCCCCTTTGCAACCTCATTTTTCATGATCACATCTCTCAAACTCGTCTCAGTGCATGCTCGAGTGGAANATTTTCCTTCAAAGTTCTCCAACTTCAAGAATTGACCTATGAAAGGCTGGTCAAGATAGGTAGAAGAGGTTCATAACTCCTCCTACCTCCCAACCTCAGCCCTAGTCCATAAGGGTAGAGCCCAGAAACGTTTTGAATCGTTATTCAAGACGTCTTCTCTCGCAGATCTAATGCTCCCCTCAATAGTCTACCGAATTAAAAAAAAGACTAAGTTTTTACGGGAAATGTTTACTTTTACCAGTTCTTCCACCGATAATTATGTGGCGACCAATCAACCCCTTTGCAACCTCATTTTTCATGATCACATCTCTCAAACTCGTCTCAGTGCATGCTCGAGTGGAAGATTCTCCCGGGAAATCCCCTTCACACGCTTGAACTTTTGTTTACTCACTAATCGACAAAGCTAAACAACAAAGTGAAGCGGTGTAAATATGTGTGACATCAGAACGTCAATGATTACTCGCTTTCTTGTTTGCATGTACGCCACACAAACATCAGGCCACAGGTAGAAACACACTTAAAAAATCACGTGTACTTCACAAGCTTTCCAACACATACTGAGGAGTGGTAGGCTAAAAAAATCCGGAAGCCACGCCTTCGGGGTTTCTAGAAGCTCACTGAAGCATCAAAGTAACTGAGGAAAAAATAGATCGGTTACTCAGCCGCGAAGTAGGGAGACGAGGGGCCTGAGTTCCACCAAAGGATATTTTAAAAAAAAATCGCTACTTAACACAGGAATAAAGGAAAAGGAAATAGGAAAGCGACATAACAGGAACAAGAACGAAAGCAACGTCTTCAGGAAACGATAGTACCAAATAGTCTTAAGAAGAACACTTCGTAAAACCTCACTGAGTGTTCTGAGATTGGAAGGCTAGTGGGCTGTCGAATCAATTGGCTTCTATCAAACCTTTCCCATGATTGTGCTGAATCATAAACAACGTTTGTTGGAAACGATTGAATTCGATAATGGAAAGGCCCTTCAGCAATCTCAAATGCATGGGAAAAATTTGGCAGATGGTTAAGGTAGTAGGCGGGAGGGAGGGGGGGTCAGGTTGCACCAGATTAAACATTATTTCAAGAACTGATGCGACTGCTGTAAACAGTAGTATGAGAAGCTACCATGGCGACCTAATCATCTGAAACAACTCAAAAGTAGTGGGGTCCTATAAAGAAGATTCCTGGTCAGAATTAAGTCATGAAAACGAGTAAGCTAGCAGAACGGTAAGCTTAAATGGACTTGTGGTCAAAATACTAAAATCCTCAAACTTCTGTCTAACCAACTTGTTGCTTCTTTCTCCTTGGATTAATAACCATCTAAAATTGGAGCGATTAATTCAAAAAAGCTCATCACGCGAAACGTTTTTAGAAACGAATTGCTTAGATTCCAAGGAATTTCCTACGTCAAAAAGTTGGATTAATAAAGGCAGATTTCGAAAATTCATTTTTCTGGCTTCTGGATAGTACATCGCGTTCATAGTCTTCACGATTTTAATGTCCAAGTTCTGCTTTAGCATCGCTTAGAACGCCGTCACCTACTACGCGACTGATGGCAGAAAAACGCTAGATAGCGTCTACTTGGAGGAAGGTTCTTAAAGTGCAGAGGTCTCCGCGGTCCCCTCCCCTGTCGTTGCCGGACACCGAGACGGACCACAGACTGCTTCCGGAAAAAACGAGCGTTTCGATCCACGGACGCCCTATGTCGATAAGGTGACTTGAAGTCGAGGAACAAAGGCAGTTGAGCTCCATCCCGCAGAGTGACGATATCCAGCGCAAGTGACTCCACCCTTCAACCGGTGTCGGCAATTTAGCAAAGAGGTTTATGACTAACCAGGATTAGATAAAAGTACAACAGGAATCGCAACAGTGAAAATGACGCTAACAGAAGACAAAGGTGATATCATTGAATTAAAACGAGCTCGTCAGGGGTTGCATCCCACTCCTTCTTCATTTCAATATAGCTAATGGAGCGACGTAGAGCAAAACTAATATAAATGTGCCGGAAAAGAACTGCAAACAAGGTACCGTTTTCCAACTTAATTCTAACAATATTTTCATTTCAACATGTGCTGAAAACTTGCACAAATCCAGTCCATTTCTGAAAATTTTTGGAAGTCTCGCACCAGAAACTTCAACAATCCCAAATATACAAGTGAATTTCATACGTTAAAAATCCATCAAAAAGCGAGAACGACACTAAAGAGAAAAGCAAAAACAAAAAACAAGCTGTTACCAATCCCCAACATCACCACATCAAGCACTTTGTGCAAGAGCATTTTGCTTTCCTCATTTATTTCGGAACAGACTGGGTGAGGCTCCTACTAACTGCTCATCTTTCCATCATTTGTAATCGTCATATCAACATCGTCATTATTCTCAAAAAACTCGAACAGATAGCCAAATGAATCATTAGTAGTAGCATAAAATGTCTACTAATTGCTCAATTGATACTGCCGTTTTTTGTGCCAAAACGCGGCAAGTTATGCTATAAACCCTCGACCTTTCCCAATTGCAAGTCAGGCGGTATCAAACTTCAAGAAGGTTGGCATTAAACAATAAGGTCATACTTGATAATGATAAGCCGATAACGTATAAAGTCGAAAGTATATCTCTACGCCTACCAAAGAAGATAAAGCTTAGCTAAGTCGCCAGAACCCGTAGTAGCTAGTCTTCAGATTCTCTCCAGGAAAGGATTAGTGTAAATCTGCTTCGCTACCCACTACGAATGACTCACAAACACTGCGAACTAATACGACTTAAGGAGACTAAAAAGGAAAAGTTTCCAATGATTGCTGATTTGAGTTTCCATTTACCTCAAAAAAAAAAAAAAAAAAACACCTCATGCAGCGATTCAAGCAACAATCTTGAACACTTCAACATAATCTATGAATATCAATGAGCAAAAACACTATTCAACCCACAACAATTATCTACGAAACTGCGTCTGGAGAAAAAGTCATTATAAGGAAGAAAACAAACAAAAGTTCACTCACTTAGCTTCGGGCATTTGATCGTAAACTCTTCGCAAAGCCGGAGCCATTTTATTCGTCACTGTTCCGGCAACGAAGATCAGATCAGTCTGAAAAAAGTTGATGGAGAATATGGCAGAAATATCCTTGAGGATTAATGACCAGTTCAATTCTTTCCATGGACTTCACTTTCGTAAAAAAACAGACCAAAATGCAGTCCACTTAACTAGGTATCACAGAAGGTCCACTGAGACAAAAAAGGAGAAAACAGCTTAGAAGGTCAGGTCCAAGGAGAAACACAGAATAGTCTGAGGGAGCATTCCTTGTCATTAAGTTTCAGATCTAGTCTGAGCCATGAACTTGTAAAATGATCGCGCGAGTAGCTCAGCAATTTCTAGGAAATGAAAGGGATAGAAATAGGGAAACCGGGAGGAAACTGTAGGAAAATGACAACGGAGAGCTGAAGACAGGGGTTGTATCGATGAGCCACGTCACGGTCTGATTCACCCTAAATCAAAATCGAGATTCAGAGCGCGCAGTGGTACAAGAAATAAGTATTGAACGAGACTCTTTGAGAAAGAATATTCGAGAGAATATAATAGGCAAAGAAAATGGATTTATCACCCCTCCTTACAGGCACGTAGCTAAGGAACTAGTTTAGATGTACATCCATACACCCAACTGCAACAAAAACAATTTTGAGCCGTCACAAAATGTGAAATTAAGATGACACCGTGACTGGATCACCACTTACTCATGAAAAAAAATATCCCCTTGCAGTTAGTCTCGGTTAGCTCGTATTTCTACCGACTCGATAAAGCAGTTTTTGGCAAAGGAACAAAATTCTTTGATGCTAACAAGATTTGTTCTTCCCTGAGATTCATGAAGAGTAATTGAGAAGTCAAATTGCCGTACCTGTCTTGGTGAAGCACGGAAAACGACACCGTAACGATCCATATCATACCGAGGAGCGGCGAAATGCATCATTTCAATAGCACAACAGGCTAAACCGAATGTGAGTGGCCACAGTGATGTACGCTGTACCATATTCATCACATCGTCAAGACGAGCCAATGCATATTCGGCTTTTGAAGATGTGTCCAAAAACGGTGTTCCTAAAAGAAATTTTGATAAGCCGGAAAATCAGATACAAGCTTTATGGAAATCTAAACATAAAAGGCCATCAATTCAAAAACAATATAGAGTCTCTAGCTCGAAGCTTTCGCTGAAATCTTGTTCAAGGAGTGAGAACAGACAAAGGAGGATCATTTACATGGGTTGGAGCCCAATCCAGGAAAATCCACACATGGGTAATATCCGCACAAATGCGTGATTGAGGCTTGCACGATTTTCGACGTTTGGATCATACATTTCGAATGATTTTATGAGCACTAATGTTTAATGCTGTTGGAGCTTAGCCCTTCGTGGATGGAGGTAAGAGCGGCTTGTAATCGAACTGACTCGCTCTATTAGTTACGACCTAAAAAGACCCACTAAAATGTTACAGAATCACATGTCTTCAACAATGCTTGAAGGAAGTGGAGGATTGAAGATAGAGTGGAAGATCTGGGCCTAGTCGCCGTGACTTCAATGTACAACTTTTACGCTCTGGATTTGTTCAATTCCTGAAGAAAGTAACCAAAGCCACCACAAAATGGAACAGTAAGATAGTCGAAGGTATCCAAAATTCAATTCACCTGTTTTAGCGATTCCTTTTGGAGCTGGTGCCGGTTCCGTGGTTATGCATCTTACGGCGATTTGACGAGCTGGCGCTGCGGTTACCGAACGCAGCACTGATAACATACCTGGGAAAAAAGCTGAAATTATTATGAGAGGAAATTATGCAGAAGGCCACATGACGCTTGCTATTTTCGAACAAAGGTAGCAACAACGAATGAAAGGAAAGTGGTACGGTAACATCTCGTCGCTATGCTACTATATACGATTCGCTAAGTATATCTGTTGGTGTTTGGGTGTGCTTGACCTGGAATGTACAACTCCTGTCCCCCTGGAACTGGAGTGTCCAAATATGGAAGGCTTTAAGGCGGTAACCTGGGAACTTTGATAGTATGTAGTAGGGAGTAATAAGAAGTGAAAGGGATCGATAAGGAGTCTAAGAAAGCATGAGGCATAGGATTCCATTACGCCCCTTGTGTCATCAGTGTAATCATTCTTTCGTATCTGCATGGATATAAATCATTGGTGAGGTAAGGTGGAAAAAACCCGCGCCCTGTAAATTTGACGGCTTTTGATTGGGCCATATCAGTAAATCTGACAATTTTCTGATGAGGACAGAATTCGAGAAATATTGCTCAGAGAATGTAGCAAAAGAGATTGGCGACACAATAATGTTGTGTGAAAAAAAGCAAATCTAGTTCCTAAAACTAATACGAAAGTAATTCTCAGATTCAGCTATGAAAATGTGAAAAAGTTTGTTTTATACCATCGAAGTAAATATTGAAATGAAGAATTTTTTTACCCATGAATCGGTCAAGTCAAAAAGAAACATGCCAAGGTTTCACCAAGGGTTATAACTAACTAATCATGAGGAACAAGAAAAGACCGACGCAAGCTGGCGATGCGACTTGACAGTGAATAAAGTAGAGTGAGTTACGCAGACTTCAAAGCGGAAAGCCTCCAAAACTGAGTCATATTCAACGCAGTCAGTTCAGAAATTCTTTAAAAATAATGCTACTAGACATCACCTCTATGAATTATGAACATTCTCAATTCCTAGGAGCTACAGCTATTCCAAAATTTAGGGACCAATTGTAGACGATGGCCGCTGAATGAAAAAGTCGACGCTCTAGCCACTTATAAGCAGGATTCTATCGAGTCAATTCTCTCATGCCGGAAAAGTTTTGGGTACAAAGCTGACAAGTGCTGCTAGGATCTCAGGAAGCGACTTATAGCAGAATGTCCAGTGAGTGGCGTTGAGTTCCTAATTGAGGGTAATAGTAGCAAATACACAGCTCAATAACTGAGTTCTCCAAATCTGTCGTGGGTTGTGAATAAGTCGCCCTCGAGGAGCGGCAATACGTCATTGAATTACGCTTTCTAGAAGACTTTTTTCGAACTTATCGAAATTGTCAGCAATTTCCCAGAACAATCCGGAAAGGTTACCCTTTTAATTGGTCACCAACATACCTGATTTCGTTAGTTTCTCTTAGCTGTGCGCGGTCCCCTGCTCCTTGTGCTTTTTTCCTATCCTAACAATTTCAAAGTTTATTTTTCTGATATATTTCAGTTATGTTTGACCACCTTTAACAAGTATATGATTACTGGAGGTCATTAGAACCTAAGCAGGAAAAGCAAAAACGTAAACACTGCTGATACAAATTTGCGTATTCTTCGAGTCTACCTAGTTCTGGAACCGCTAAATTTTTATTGGCATTAGGATCGTTTGATGGGGTTAGTTATATGACCAGGTTTCACTCCGGTAAAGCGATTTTTTGGGGCTCGACAAATTGACTATAAAGAAACCCCTCTATAAATATGTGTAATGAGTAACCATTTCAGGCAATCGCATCCCACCTCGTTAACGAGAAACACCCGCAAGAATTAGTGGTAAACCAGTTTGTTCCATCTCTCTCAATGATTACATGGTAACTGTTAGATGGTATGCGGGAAACTGAAGCAACAACTGTAAGTATACTATTCGAGTTGCTGTCGTCGAATAAAGGATCCGGTCTGCAGGAAAATTCTGCAAATTGCACAACAGCAAAACAATTCTGTGGCGAGGCGAGTGTAAAAACCATAAAAAAGAGGGAAAGAAATGGAGATGGGCAGATAAACAAAATTGGAAACAGTCCACCCCGGCTAAATTTCCCGGATGATACGAAAAACGAAAAGCAGCAGAAGGCGAATCAGGTGAAATAAGCTAGAATTTAGATTTTTTTGATAGCGTTCCTTGCCTAACGAAAAACACAGCGACCTTCCTGAAAGCAGTTAATTTAGTTTTTTTCACCCTAAAGAGGCCTAGTAAAGATGGTCCAGGAGCGCAATACGTTACAGACTGTCCTAATACTTNCGATTTTTCAGGAAAAAAGTTAAATATCTAAATGTCATGAAAGGAACGAAAGAAAACCTGGCTGCTATGTTTATATGCTTTGGCTTGGAAACATTATAAACTATGCAGAAAACCTCCTGTTAAAAAAGAGGTTTGAAGAAACTTACCTGGTAATTACGTACCTGAGGATCATATGCGCCAAAAATAGGTTGAATTGACACTTTTTTTGATGATTCTGTAGTAATGTCAAAAACTGTTAATATGGAACGATGATTGACACTTACCAAACTGGGAAAAACCAGTTAGATTTCATTCTAATTTTGAAATATGAAAATGATGGCCAAGGGGTCAAAACAATAGAAAAGCCACATATTGGAGCGCAGCTAATCGAGGTTAACGGCTGCAACCTGGAGGTACACTGGAAGACGTCAAGGGAACGATGAAGACCGATTTCAAAATCTTCGTAAAACGAAAACTCCTTGAACTTCCAAACCGTTCTTTGTCGTCTCGTCCGTAAGAAGTATGAAGTATTTATTCAAATCAAGCTCAATATCGTCAGTTTACCTCACTTCAAGGGTCTTTTAGCCAGGAAATGCTATTAAATAGCTCAGGATTCATAGAAGGTCTAAGCAAATACCATCAGTCTTGTTTTGCAGGTGATCGATCGAAATGGTCAGTGGTGTCTGGTGTTTAGCGTATGGTGGCAGGTCGTTGGGCATATTGGGTGGGGGCGCCTGTCTGCGCCTCCGCGCTCTCTCGCCTCGCTGACACTCCTGCGGCGGGCCGGACGGCGCCAGCCGTCGTCGCCGACGCCGCTGCACACCGTTTCAAAGTCGTGTCCGTCTCCGACTGGCTAGAAATAGGCTCCCAATTTGTTTAACTAATCATTTAATTCTGTTTATCTGTATGTAATGCCTTCTGAAGCCTTAATCGTCGTGGTGGCAATCATGGCAATACCTTTTGTCACTCATATATCACGCCTATATTCCGTTTATTACAACTTGCAATGCGTGGTGCTGTTCTTATTTCCAGCAAGCGGTGCTCAAGCCCTGTTCTTCCGGCCAAAAGTAGTCGATTTTCAACATTTCTCTAATCAAAATCACGTTTTCGTCCACCGGAATTTCGTTTTTTTCAAGCCATTCCACAAGGGCATGCCATGCCGACTCTTGTTTTTATTGCATTTTTTTAAGATTTTTTTTCCAAGAAACTTTTTCTGCCTGTACCCTGGAGCGTGTTTGTAAACGTAGTAATCGTATAGATCAACAAACGACATTTGTCATTTTTGTAGTTCTACAGAATTTCTGTATGATACCAATTTTTGATGACATCGATGTGCGTGTGTGTATGTTTTGTCATCAATTAGTTACGCCATAAAGTAATCCATATAATGTTCAGATAAGTTTTTTTGTTTAAACAAATTCCGATCGCTGCAGACAAGGACACTCTGGTTTTCAGTATTTATTGATTCATCGGAATTCCTTTTGTTTCCCCAAGTTCTCGTTATTGAGAGCCATTTATTTTGGAAATGGGAGAAATAAAAATCTGTCCACATCATATCTCTAGAAAGGGCCTAAAGACAGGCCTGTATTTCTCGTTGAAGAACTTCGAATAGCGTTGGTGTTCCCTATTTTTGGGACGAAATTGCTTCGTTTTCCCTGTGGTATTCATTTTTCAGGGGCATTTGTTGTTGCGCTAACTTTGTTTTAATCGGATACCGTAAACAACCCCAGTTTACCCTTATTTTTGTCTCTCTATCACCTCTTCGATCGAGTTTATTGCAGAATTTTTGTTTTTAGATTGATTTTTGATGAATTTCCATAACTGCTCCACGAAGCCACTGTCTGTAACTATTCTGTGAGGTGTATGGTATGTGCTGAGTATAGATTGGTATCTCATTTGCGTTGCAGTTTTTCGTGACCAAGACTCTTCGATATGATTTCGCCGTAAGAGCCGTGGAGGAGGCGATTTTTCACATGCCGTTTGCGAAGATTAATGTCCATCCTCAGACCTGATGATTATAACGATTTCAGGCGTGGTTTTCTATGAAGATGGTCCCAGAACCAGCCGGTGGTCTCGTGGCGTCGGTGATCACGGCTTCACCTGAAGCATCCCCATCAACGTCACGAGATGAGTGCTGGTACATGGAAAAATCCGGCCGACTTTTTGGTTACGATGAAATCGTCGCTCCATGGTCAACGAAACGCTATAGTCTCTCGATAGAAGGGTAAGTACGTAAGCTGTAATAGTCGTATATATCTGGGAACCCTGGGAGCAGGAAATGTTAGACGGAGCTCTGCTGCCCGTAGTATTTCCGGTTTTCTCTCGTTCCTCGTCGAGGTGCTGGCACGCTTGCAACACCGCGGCGGCGATGATCACCGGTGAACAATGTTTGCTCGCGCATTTTGAACGATAATATTGCTCGGAATGAGGGCAATACGGCGTTTTGATTTGGTTTTTGTTCAGATTTCAGCTTTCGAGCTTCATGATGGTGGTGGTCGCTATATTTTCATCCTTTCAGGGCTTATCAGGAATAATTCGTTGACAGTTGTGGCTTCTTATCATCAAAGCTTTCAAAAAGAAATTTGGTTTTGGATGTTCGTTTTGGTACTTCTGGGAACGATGCCATTCGCTCCCCCTCATTTAAAGCTAGTCGGACCTACCATAGTAAGGTTATCCTTTGATCTCAGAAGGTCCAGACGGCCGAAGCATTTACTCCGACTTTCAGTTTACCGTTCCATGGAGAAATGTCTTTATATTCTGGGTTTATCCGCTTCCTTAATGGGATCGTTCGGGAGAGCACAATGTTCTGATAGGGAGATAATATCAAACCTCCTTAATCCCTGTGCTCGTTTTTCGCAGATTCGCATAGCCTGATCTATCCACACAGACAAACCGGCTAATTGTGGTCTTATATCATCGTTATTGGTGTGAAGTTTCTCGTCGATTCATTCGTCGGCGTTAATAAATGATAAAGAGCGCCATCATCAGATTCCTTAGTGAGTGAGACCGTGACGACGCCCACCATTTCTAGGTTAAATAGCTCCAGAGACAACCACGTATAAAACAACGCCCATAGGAGTCCCAATACCGTAATACCAAGCAGTTCAGGTGACACAAAGAAATAATGTTGTTTACTATGCTGGTGATAGTAATCGATCGAGTGCTGGCGATGTCTCATGTTATAGACAGCGCACGAAACAGTATGCTCATAGAGGAGAGGGTAAAGAAGTCTTCCGACTATCATTACGTCAATCAAAATCGTTATCGCTTCACATATCTGAAGTGTCAGGTCTTTATGAGGGATTTTTCTTGGGAGAAATTGTTTTGTGTGAAATATAAGAACAACAAGATTGTTTACTGGAGCAGCTCGGGATGATCAGAGACTCTGCGACCGTTTTTCTTAGTATAAATGAGAAATAATAAATCTTTTTGAAGAGAAATCTTAAAAGTCTCTTTGAAGAGAATTTTATTTCAGGTTACACGAAGAGATTAAAGACATATTTCAATGGTTACGACCGTGTCGTTTAGAAGAAGCGGTACGGTTAGAAGTGTTCCGGAAGGTAAGTATATCCATTTCATTTAATTTTTACGCATTCAAATATATTTCATTATTGATTACTTTTTTTTCTATTTATATTGGCTATTATGAGGGCTGATTCTGGTTTGACCAGTGATTGCATAGAATTGTAACCTCAATTTCAAGTTTTCCTGTAGTCGTCTGATGATCAATATGCGGAAGTCTTACTTCCTTTTTTTTCTCTTCAATTGTCTGTTTTTTCAACCCAGTAGACCACGTTTACTTTTCTTCTTTACTGCTGATCTCAATCACCTTTCTTCCCGTTCTTTTTTTTTCTTCTCCTGAGAGATTACTATGTATTGTTCCCGCGCATCCTTGTGGGTGAGTAATTGAAGCGGAATGGAATGTAAGCCTAACGATATTTGTCCATCATGACGGCGGGTGGCTGATGAAATAGCGGTAACGTCACAACGTATCATGGTCACTGACATTCGTAAAGTCGACAGTCGGATTTGTCCATTGAGGCCGAGCATTTGAACAGCTGCTGAGCAGACCTGAGCAGATTTTGGGTTTTTATGTCTTCACCGTCAATTCACCTTTTTCTATTCAATGAATTTCTTCATCGGAATTGAATTCAGTCTCATTGCTGTGTACGAAACCGAATTCCCAAAAAAAAATTTGATGAAAATGTCTCGTGTGGAGGCCAGCGAACTCTTATCCTGAAGGTATAGCCTTTCTTCCGTAGTTCTTTCTGGAGTCAGCAGGTTGAAAAAATAGCCCACAGTATAGGGATGGTAATTTCGGTAGGCTGTACTTCGATTTCTCTGTTACCTTCTTATCCTTCCCATTTCCTTCAATTGAACCTACGTGTACCCTTCCCTGCACGGTAGTGCACTGTGTATCTTTGTCACTGATCGCTCGATAAGGTGGGAACTTTGTATTAATTTTTAAGAACAGTTTTTCTTTCAGATGTTGATGTCTAGGTTACACGGGCCTAGGTTAATGCTTGATTCGACACCTGGGCAATAGCTGTACGTTATTGGTTGACTTTAGGTTAACATACAGATGGTCCACCATTTTTCTGCAGGTCAACATTACCGATGACACGCGGAGACAGCTGAGACACTCATACTTAAGAATTAGCACACATGAGCTGTGCTATCGATCTGATCCCGGTGCTTCCGACAAGCGCTTTCCCGAGAATTCTAATGTGAGCGGGGACGTGATTGAAGTATTGCTGCTGTAATGACTAGCCAACGTCTGATTTTGACGTATTTCGCAGTTTCCGACCCATGAGCCTGTCAAAGATGGCTTACCAGTAGAGTATAGGTGCAGTCTTTGCAAAAATTCAAAGAATATTCTTTAACAACCCGGACTTGTTGAGAGCAACTTCATCGTGGACCCCATACAAGGATTCTGAAGGAGATGCAATAAATGATGTCGAATACAGAGAAATTTATTTAGACGAGGTTAGGTGGAGCTCCAAAAAGTAGCGTAGGGTAGAACAAAAAACTGGGCTGGGAAGATTTCGTTTGGGTTGGGAGGCTAACGGATAGCTTGGCAGTGCTTGATGTCCCTTTTAAGTGGAGGAATGCATAGGTGGCGTGACTTGAATGTGAAATCGATTTCATTCATCCTATTTATATTTTTATGCATGCATATAGCGGTTGCCCACTGTGGGTAGCCGGAACTCTTGGCGAAGTGGGAAATATGAATTATTGATTAGTTCGTGAGCAAGGATGTAGTGAGCTTAACTTATTTTGGTACTTGGGGATAGGGAAGAGGGTCAAGTTGTGTTAGGTGAAAGTGGGGTTTCTGCGGCCTTGTGCACGTGCATAACGTATGACCCATAAGTCTTCGAACGTGAAGAAGGTATGAACGTTAAAATGAAAAACGTTGCCGCGTACCTTCGCATGCAGTGTACGTTGTAAAAGCCAAAATGACGTATGACATTGGAAAGGTGCCTCAACGAGGTAAGTAGGCGGCCTGTACGATCAGACTTGCGGGGAAAAATATTGATTTGATAGTGAGACCTTAGGACATAAGTCGTTCAGATTGGGATTTTTCTGTTTTCTGGAGCCTTGATGAAAACTAGCGGCATAAATCTGGGGATTTGTCATCGAGCGACTCCTGCCCTCCAGAGATTGTCATGGTGAAAAAGCTTCAGTGTATTTTTTACTTCTTAAGCTGTGCGACCGGGATTTCGGCCGAGACCATCTTAAGAATAAAAGATACAACCGAAAAAAAAGTCGAATTTGATGGCGAGTAGAAATTGGGCAGTGAAAAAAGCTTGTTCTGTCTCTTCCTCCTGTCTTCCTCTAGAAATCTTTAGTGTCTGAAAGGAGTCAGCCCGTTGTCCCCATTGCTTTCTGCTCTGAGTCATTACTAGGATTAGGATGGGTCAAATTGGTTTTTGGAAGGCAAGCCTGCCAGCTAGTTTGAACCAACTCGCGTATCATAGAAAACAATTGTGGTTCAAGGAATCGGAGCAGTTTGTCGTAGAACGAGCTCAACCCCTAAGTCCAAAGGGTTATCTTTTTTTACTGTTTTTTGAATTTGAATTTGAATACTTCCCTGTTGGAGTCATTACTCGAGTTCTGAAGTCTTCTGACGTTGATCGATCCGATTTTGGTATGCTCTCATAGCTCTCGACTTCAATTCAGGATCGTTATTTCGTTCTGCATGCTTCTGTAGCCTATACCTTGATTTGCCATGGCCAACCGATATGTAGTCTAGTCCTTTTATCCTCTCATAAAAAAGGAACCAATCAAAAGCTTTGAAGGAGCAAAAGGCTTGCTTATCTAGGCTATTATCAATCCCGGATCTAACCCGAGACCATGCTGTGGTTGTGCGTCACTTCGCACTACGCCACTTCCTGTTGGGGAACAGCATGGAAACCAGTACTCCACCCACGAATTGTTTTTGTGGGATTTATTTCCTGTTAGGACTCAGGCCTGGCGAGATGTGTAAAATCATAGTTGATCAGTTGTGATCGGATCAGAATTGGCCAAAACAATTTCAAATGAACATCAACTAAATTTGGCAATGATTGGCGAAGTCAGGAAGCGATCTCTTCCGAGCTAGGTCTGTGACAACGGTTTCCAAATAGGATTTCATTCATTTTACTCGTGGTATTTCGAACTAAACAAGAAGAGGAGGATTTGCAAAGCTGAATAATTGCCGCCCATCAACCTCCCTCAAGACTACGGCACTAAATTTGAAAGGGGAAGAGCGAGAATTTCTATCAGACGTGTGACATCGCCACTTTTTCCTCTTGATTGCTCTGAGTTCAACTTTTCTTTTTGATGGTTTTTTGGAAATTTTCGATATGAGATGCTCAACGTTTTTTTCAAGATATTAAATTGCTAAACATAGTAAAATATGCGCACTGAATTTTTGATCTGAGTGTGAGGGCAACTTTTTTGTGGTTAGCGCCCAAGGGCAGTTTCCCGTTCTGCGGCATTGGTTATGAAAAGTTTGGTTTCAGTGTTTTCCCCTGCGTCTACTTTTTTCGAATCTTGTGATAGCAGAAAAAGCAAAGAATTTTTCCCGAATGATCGTTGTGAACAAACCAAAAAAGTTTCAAAATCGAGAAGGGAGAAAAGGGAAATTTAGAATTTGGGAGGTCTGACTTTCAATGGATCTGAATTTTTTCTCTGAAATCGAAGAAGTTTTTTTCTTTTTTTTTTCAATTTTTCTAACTTGCGTGTAAAGTTTAACCTCTGTTTGCGTCGTCAGTGAGCTGGGTATTAACACTCAGGGATCCTAGGGTTCACAGATTGATGGGAGTGGG